TTTCTCACTGTGTTGTGCTGTTTATTTTACCCGAGGAAACTATTTTATTGTGCAGCTTGAATTATTGAAATTCGAATATTTGTTTAAATTTCTCGTTCTTTTTGATTAAGAACCACAGGGGGAATAAAGACAGTTTTTTTCTGTTTTCTTTTGACTATTCTCGTCTTATTTTTACCACCTGCCTTGCACCTCTTTCATCCTGAAACAATATGTTTGGTCTAATAAAGAGGAGGAACTTAATGAGTGTGCTGAGCTGCCCAGGCAGGCGAGTAAAAGCCTCCGTGAAGTGCTAACGATGTTTCTTCCGGAGGCTGCCGGTGTCAGGTTAGAGGCGGGCTCTTACACACTTTGACTCCTTTTACCTGTGTGTTTGGGTTTTTAATCATGAGGTCTGCTTACCTGTGTGTGTGCATGTGCCTTATTTATTCGCAGCAGCATCTGTGCACTGGTGTGTGCATTACGTGGAGTTACAATGCACAGGGCTGCCCGCCCCTTGGGGATTCTGGTGTGGACCCTTAATTAATCCGTTTTCTGCCCGGAGGGCCTCTGTTATTAGGCTTTTACAGAGAAGCTGGCTGAGTCCTAACAGCACGATCTCCGAGAGCACAACACTCACACAGCTGTGCTTCCAGCAATGTGAGGACAGTTCACATAATGAAATGTTTTCCATAACTTCTAACAAATACCCTTAAAGAGTGATAAATCAGTTCAAGTTCAAACAAACTGGATTAGCAGCAAAGCGTCAGCTGCCCATCCTTTCATATGATCAGCTTGCATATGTAACATAACTTATGCTTAAACCTATGGCTGTAAAAATGTATATGGACGGACCTGCGGGCTGTCTTTCAACCTGGTGCCACCACCTTAGGTTATCACTCAACATAACATTTTGAAATCGCTGACTCTCAAGTTAGTTCATAATTAGAGATGGCACGATACCACTTTTTTATGTCCGATACCGATATCATAAATTTGGATATCGGCCGATACCGATATGAATCCGATATAGTGTGTTTTTTAATTAAAACTGTTTTTTTAATATCTTGCTGCATTTTGTATAAGTTCAAATTCAAGTTTAAAAAAACAAACAAACACTAAAGCTATTCTGTTATACCTGTATGCAAAAAATATACTGCACCCAAAATATTTCATAGTTCAGCAATACTGATCAATCTAATGAACTTAAACCTACCCAACCCTTCTTATTCTGGTATTTTAAAGAGTAAGCAACCTAATTAATAGGGCTGCAAGCTCCCAGCAAAAAAAAAAAAAAAAAAAATAGGGAACCATCAGCCACCAGCACAGATGGTACCTTCACAAAGGAAAAAGTACTATAGCTTACTAGGGTATATTAGACTTAACAGTTACTATATACAGTAATGGACTTCTATACATTTTACATCAGATTAAAACTTTGGGTGTAAGATTCAGATAATTATTTATTAAAAGCTCGACATTTTAAATGAGAATAAGAAAGAAAAGTATGTCTTTGTGCCCTCTTTCCCTGTTAATGCCCTATTGGCCCCCCTGGCTAAACTTTGCTAGATCCGCCCCTGCAGTTACCAGCGTCAGCTACGTAGAAAAAGATCCTCGAGTAGAAAGTAATATTAAATAAATTCTGATCAAGCTGATCAAGCTTAAACGTGCTGCTGTTGTTCAGCTGCTGGTTTCCTCTTTCTGGTGCAAAGTGTGCCAAAAAGAAACAAGAGAGACAGAGTCGCGACAGAAAAGCCGATCAGCTGATCATTGATCAGTTTCATGATTGAAGTAGCAGCAGGAGAGGGAGAGAGAGAGAAGAGGCAGTCGCTCCATATATCGGTTGTTAAGCTTAACACGGGAATGCTTTACAAACATTCAGAGATGTACTTACACACCTGCTTTACTTCTCTGGGATAACTTTGTCGGAGATGAAATGACAGTTTGGTAGTGAGGCCACAAATGCTGAACCAGACAGCAGGTCTCACATGCCACAGCCGCTCTATCACGTGACGCATACTGCTCCGACGCGCTAGGGTTATGAGCCGAGTTACGCCATGTCGCAAGTTTTGTGAGGTGCTGTCGTGATATTTAATGGATCGGATTACAGTTTTTATTTCTCTCCGATATCTGATCCAGTAATTTAGATCACTATGAAGCGCCTTGAGGCGACTTTTGTTGTGATTTGGCGCTATATAAATAAAATTGAATTGAATTGAGTATCGGACCGATACTTAATATCGGATCGGTCCATCTCTATTCATAATGCCATATTTCAGTGAGCCCGATGACTGTTTACATGCTGAGTGATTTTTTTGATGACAGACTGCATATGTTGTGTTACTGGATCTCATCTTACCCAGTTTGTATAATAAGGAATTAACAAACAAAAATCACACTTGATGTTCGTCTTCTTTGACTTCTAAAACTCAACCTTTCCTCAAAAGTTAAGCTTTAGTCCTGCTTCAACTCTTTCCCCCATAAAGATAAGAAGATAAGAAGATCTGGCAACCTTTACACCTCAGTATACTGTATATCAATAAAGACGTCTAACAATGGTGATCTGATAGAAACTATTCAATCAGATCACCAACAGAAAAGTTTATGCATTTTTTCCGAGGGTAGTTGCTCAGGCTCTCTAACTTCTGTGGCACACCTGCTCATTTTATTTTGCAAGCAGGTTTCAATATGACCAAAGACAGCCTGAGTGTTTGCAGGCTGTGAGTCTGGGGCCACCCCCTACACCTGTGTTCTCACAAACAGTTCAAGTTAGAAAAACGAAAACTTTCCTTTAAGCGTCGCCATCAGCTGCACACCCCATATTTTACCGCCTTGCCCCACTGAAAATATCAGCACCACATTACTGTGACACTATGTGATACACATACACTCAAAAAAATGAAACGTTGACTTTAATTAAAATTATTTTGTCAACAGGTTCCACGAAATTGAATTATGTTAGTTTAAAGCAAAAATCTTTAGTTCATCTAATTTAAAAAAAACTACTTAAGATTAACAAGACATATTTAAGACTAACTAAATCAAGTTATGTTGTATGAACATAGATGATATATTTTCAGGTTAGATAGTTTAGATTAGTTACTTCAACACATTTCTTATTTGTGGCAGTAAAATGTTAAATTTAAGTTAGATTAATTCAAATATTATATTTTCAGCCACCTTGTGCTTTATTAATTAGTTTTACATAAATCTATTTTGTCAACAGGTTCCACACAAATGAATTAAGTACATCCAACTTATTTTTTAAAATTTCTTTTATTGCCAACACATTCAGTGAGCATTTGTGTAAACCCAGTCCAAAATAAAACACAACAGCTCATTAGGGTTAGTAATTAACAGTATGTAGACAGATGCAACATCAAGACTTTAAATTAAATGTCTGTATCTACCAGAAATAGAAGAAAAAAAAACGCATTGAAGATCACATAACACATTGATAAGATGACACTTGAGTTATGCACATGTGATGCTAGTAAGGTCTGTGAGTGTTTTTTCTTTTAGTGTCTAAAATGGATAGCAAAGTTGCTATTTGCAATGATTGCTTAGGGTCAGTCCAGTAACACAATGCCAATGAAGTGCTTTCCTTTAACAATGCAAAGTGAAGTGTCCACCTCAACAGCCACAATTAAAAAAAAATAAAACAAAAAATAATAATAATAATATAATAATAATAATAATAATAATAAAATAGTCCACTGATATTAGCAATCAAAGAAAATTACATCACCATCCCAAATAAAACTTTAACAAAACATGCCAACATTATGGTCTAACAATAAAACAGCTTGTCAGCGTTCAGTTTTTTTGCAACAGCACAGCAGTAACCATTTAACACTTGCCACTGTCAACATTTATTTTACCAGTGTTTGGGCAAAAAACTTCAGATGTAAACATTTTAACATGGAAACAATTGTTCGTCTTTAAAAGTCACAAATTACTTATCCTGCACACAATTAACACAAACTGAATATGAACATATTTCCACCTCATAACAATATGCCTTGAACGCTAATATACACACCACCCTTCAACATTTCTGGTGCAGTATCATCTCTCAATTAAATCCTTTAAATCTCAATACTTTTGATTGTCTCTTACTAGCCCCCCCACAACAGTAAAATCTCTCAAATTGTAGTAGTTTACAAACTTTTCAAAATGTTTAAATTTCTCTTAAATGTAATTTTCCCGTTATCTGTCATTTACAAATTACCATTTTATTCCCATTCAGCCTCCGAAAAACTTCTGTCCATCTGACAGAACATTCATCATCCAAATTAAAGGTTGGCTTATTCATTCAGTGTATTCTTGAGCAACTGTACCTTGGTCAAGAGTCTGCTGACATACAGATGAAGGAAGAGCTTCTGAAGTACTTCAAAGAAAGCTTTCAGTCTTGAGGTTAACTGAGATTCAGTGCATATATCCCACCCATTAAGAGTGCACATGCAGAGGCCAGGTCTTCCAGGTCATGCAGGACACACTAGATGGTTATACCCACATCGGCTGGAGGAGTGCTGGCATCAGCTCTTTCGATGGTAAAGATAGCAAGGGTAATTTGTTCCAGCTCCCTCTGAACAGCTGTAGCTTAGACACAAAAACATAGAAAAATGGCATCCAGTTTTAAAAAAAGAAAGAAAAAGGGCCAAAGCTACCCTTTAATGACGTAAACACAATATTAGGAACATGCACCCCAGTGCGCCACTATTTTAGACTACAGATTCAACGATAAATATAAATAGTTTGGGTATACAAGAAGATTTCCCAAAACATTTAAACAGGTTCCATGCAAATTACAACAACAACAACATTACAACATGCAACAACATTAGTTATTCAAAATTTGGTTTAATACAGATAAAAAACTAAACTAAAATTACCAACCAATTATTCTTTGAAGAGGATGCTTGGGTCTTCATTCAGGTAAAAAGGTAGTGCCCTGAGGACACACTCCCTCCCCTTTTCAATAGTTTCCTTCTGTAGAGAGTGGCAGAGATACAGGAAGAGAAAACAGAATACTTTAGGATGACAAAACTCACATTATACGCAAAATGAATGACATATCCACTGCACAGATAGTAAGCATGGCACAGGAAGACTGTAAATAGAGGTGTGAAAGCAGTAAAATGGATATGCACACATGCATGCCTGCGAACACAAACTGTGCGCCTATAAGTAAAACAATGTGTGTTTGAACAGTTACACCTTACTGAGCTAGCAGTTTGTATTTGTTTATAGTCATTTCTATAGATAAAAAAAAACACTTGTCACCAAGTGTTTTTGTTTTAATCTATTAATGTCTACATACATACATAACAGGTCTCATATAGTTAAAAAAGAAGTTGACCAGCTGCAGGCTCAGCAGCACTTTCAGATAAGAAGAATATGAAAAATTGTTTGGTTCATAAGGTTGACTGATCTTAATACCTTTAACCAGCTGGTTTGCCAACATCCAACTTTATTTTTCATTATTTTTTTATCCTTCTGTAAATATTGAAGAGTTATCATGTCACTGCATTATGATTAGATTTGAATATATATATTTTTTAAATTCAGATGAATCACAAAAACAGCTGTTTTTTTTTACAGATGTGTGCTCCTCACAGCGCAGCCACTACAAACGGGATTTATAGAATATGATTCTGGACATAAAACAGAACATAAAGCATTTAAAATGAGCTCAATCTTTAACATTTGCAGCAGTAAAATTAATCGAGAAAGCATTTTTCTGCAGAATAATAATTTTTACTTTGGTTATTTTATGAACACAATTTTTCAGAAATCCAGTTTTATGTGTACTGAGGTGGGTTTATTGTTTAGTTTCATAAAGGAACAGTTTGAAAAATCCACCACTAATAATAATAACTAGTTTTTGTTAATATAGTTTTTAATTGACTAAAGAAGTAATACCATCTTATTATTCTTCAGCAGGAAGGAGTGCAGACATGCAGCACAAATAGTGTGTTTTATTGTGATTTTGTTTGGTGTATGTGTGTTTTGGGGGCAGTCATGCACTTCGATTAGGAGCATGGTATCAGCTACCTGAACCATTCATGTTATCGAGCTTGCAAATACAGCTTAACTTATTTGAAAGCAAACATTAAAAAAATAAATGTATAGTACAGCCTGAGGGTTTACAGGCTGTCAGTCTGGGGCCACCCCTACACCTGTGCTATAGGTTCTCACAAACACTTCAAGTTAGTTTCAGTCTGCCTGACAAGTTGCTTCGTTTATGCCCTGAGGCTCACGAGACTGCTTTTGTCATGTGAATGGATCTCGTGTGACACAATCTTTATAATAAGGTATAGAAAAACGAAAACCTTCCTTTAAGCAGCTGCACACATGTTTTACCACCTTGCCCCACTGAAAATATCAGCACCACATTACTGTGACACTTCGTGTTCGCCTTCTCTGACTTCTGAAACTCAAACTCCAGTCAAAAGTCAGACTTTTGTCCTCAGCTTCTGAAAATATCCTCTGCAAGAGCACAGACACACAAATACAGGAAGACTGTAAATACAGGTGTGTAAGCAAAATGGATATGCACACATGCACAAACTGTGCACAGCTAATAACCTCAAAAACGAATGCAAACACACTTTGTCAGCAGCTTTCAGTGGAACGTTTTCTGTCCCTGGTCTGTACAAAAATATTAAAGTAAAAAACCCCAATATGTCATTCTAACAATAACGCCTGTGTTACAGTAAAACAGTATCTTATCTGAGCAGTGAGCCCTTTTGCTTCATTTCTGTTCAAGTTTCATGTCTTTTTTGTGTATTTCCTGGTTTATGTGCTTGATCAGATCATTACTTCAGTTTTAAGGTTGAAACCTTTTGGAAGTAAACCTATGGTGGTTAGAGCTGCAGTGTATTTTTAGTTTCCTGTGTTTCAGTTTCGACTACTTCCCTCGCGTTCCCTTGTATCTTGTCAGCGTTTGTCTCGTTAGGCGTGTTAGGCTCGATGTCATGCTATTTTGGCCACTTCCCTTGGACAAAGACACTTGGAAAAAGTCTCTGTTTGGGATCCCTGTGCTTCTGTTTAAGAGTTTGGATTTTGCCCCCTGTGTTTATGGACTTATTCACTCAACCTAATTCATTTTCCAGTTACTGGTTTGTCTGTGAGTCCTGGGTCCATTTTTTTTCATGACACTTGCTTCATGACAGTTATTGCTGTTAGCTTCCTTATGGCTAAGACCAGAGTCATTACTCAGTTGCTGCTGATAACACTAGTTACGTTCATTTACAGTTCTTTTACATAAAAACTGAATATTTTATGCAAATCCTCACGTCCATAATTATATATGGCAGGTACATTTACATTGAGTGCCATATATGTCCCCTGATGGTTCATTGAGTCGCTGGTGTTACCATGTGTTTGTTTTTTTGTTACATCAAATAAAGTGTGTCATTCGATAGTTATTTTACATACATTCAATTTTGTTACACCTAAAGGTGAAGGATTACATCGCTAAACTTCTTTCAATTTTCTTCGAATATTTTCATTTTTAGAGCAAATAAATGGTTGTGGAAATTCAATAAAATATAATATCAGTATTTCTGTAGAATGACTCAACACCCTGCTTTTCTTTTACTTGTCCTGTAACACACATCAGTTCAGCCACCTGACTGCCGCAGAGTCGGGGTGTTTGGTTGAGATGCTCGAGCGATGTGTGAAATCTGATTACGGTCTTACACAGCTTCTCTCAGCGGCGGGAGGGCGATCTCTGTTACTGCCGCCTCGCCTGTCCCGTCTGGCCTCCCTCCTCCTGATATTCCTCTTCCTCTCTGTGGGACTCTGTCTGCATCACTACTCTGTATAATGGCAGTGTCTGGCCCAGCGGTTAGAGCCTCACATGTTTTTTTTTTTTCTTGCAAGAGCTGATGCAATCTGTTCAGGTGCTGTAGAAATAAAACTTCAAAGAAAAAGGTGAAAGTTTTTTTTATGTTCGTGTGGATATTGTTTTTTCACTGGAGCAACAATTTGAAGGAAAAGAATCTAATTCAGGTGTCAGTACCTCAAATATTACAGGGGTCTTTTGAGGCTAATACTTATGCACTGATGCTACGCAGTGGCACAGGGAGGACAGAAAGTACACAACAACGAGGACATACATTTTGGTTTTAAATATGAAAGAAGCATATTTTAAGAATTGTCACTTGTGTTTGATGCGCTTTGATCTTATTTGGCAGTTGTAGCAAATTGTGGAAAAAAGCTATGCTAGCTAATTATGGCTTCGATCATAGCAACCATTTGTCAACCACCGGTTGCTAGGGAAAAATTGTGTATTCCCCGACTGATTGTAAGTGCTTGCTGGAGGTTTCTTGGAAAAACTGGTCACAAAGAGGGTGCTACACCACACATCTCCTTGCTGTGGCTTTGGTCCAAACAGATGCAAAGCCTTGGTCACCTGAAGCTTATGTGAAAGACGCCGACTTGTCTGCAGAGAAGAGATAATGCAAGTTAGACCCCTTGAATTAAAGCTGAAAGTCCGCTCTTTAATCACATATTGATTGCTTGATTTAAAACCCACTGTGGTGGTGTACAGACAAAATTACAGAATACATTATTGCCCAAATACCAATAACACCAAGTCCAAATCCTATGACACGGCTCGCCTTATCAAGGTGGAATCACACAGAGCTTGTCCTCAATTTTTAAAGTTGCAATCCTACCAATTCTTGTAAACGCTGTCTCCCAGTGCAAATTTGTGACAATTCACATTTGCGTTTGAATTTTGGCCGTAACCGTGCTCCCCTGAAACTTAAATTTGCATTTGGTGTGAACAGACCATTGCAGCTACTGTACATGTGAGCTACTTCAACAGGAAAGGAAAACCCAAAGCACAACCCTGAGAATAATGGAACAGGAAAGTACTGACATTTTTAATGTAATCATTCATGACCTGAACAGCACGAGTTTATTAGGCCCTGACTGTACTGCTATTGTTTCCCTCTTCCTTCGTTTCGCTGAAAGTGGGCAGACAGACCAAGCGTTCATCTCACGAGAAAGCTCCTCTGCTTTCCCGTGAAACTGGGAGGACAAAGTCAAACCACAAAGACTTTGTTCGACTTGTACTTTTATCCTCCTCCATCAGCTCTGCAACTTGCCTTTGTCTTTTCAATGACTTTGTGTTTGCATATTTTCTCTCCGCTCAACACTTTTTCTCCATTTGGATCTCATCTGTGTGATCATCTGCGTGCTGAATATCTCGGCTTTTTCTCCTGTTTTGTTTCTGCCATCATTGCCTTTATGTTCGCCTGTGGCGATGCACTAATAAAAAGACTCACCTCCGGCACAGTATGACAAAGGACACTTGCATTTCTATATCAGTATTAGCTTAGAAGCCTGGGTCAGTTGTTCTTCCCCCTCTGTTCAAAAAAAATAAGAAGGGTTTTTTTTTTTATTGTGTTGCCTCGCTTGTTTCCCCCCCTCTACGGTACATTCTTGCTTCTCTCCACACCAAAGTTTTGCCGCAGGCGGCGTGCCATCTGCTTTTGACATTTTCAGAATAAGGAAAGCTTGTGGGAACAGCCTGTTTATTGTTCCATTGTGGTTAATTATTCAAACAGCAGCTCTCGGTTCAGAGCGGCCGGTTATCTGCAGGCACTGCCCCGTGCGAAGCTGGACTGACACTCTGTGCAGAATTCAAAATTTGGAATTCATCATTCCGATGCTGCTTTACTCCAGTCTGGAGGTGACAGTTGGAGCTGAGAGTAGAATAAGACTCCCTATTGTTGGTCCGGCAATTAGTCAGAAGTGCAGAAATAAGAGTGTAAATGACAACAATAGGTCATCAGTCAAAATCACAGCAGAGCACCTCCGTGGCACGCTGCCCATTATGGGCACATGTTATGATCCAGCAGCAAGTGATCAGAAATGAGTTATTGCACTTTTTGCAATTTTTCACGTCAAAGTTTGTTTGTTTATCATTGTCGGGCAGGGTTTGCTTCATATGCAAAAACTGTGATGTGAAAGTGTTACGAGGCTCCAGAAGGAACTATTAAATTGGGTGGGTTAATTTGCATAACCAAATGCAGGACGCAGGGCACAGGAATGAAACATTAATGACTTTTTTAATGGTGATAACTTATAAACTACAAAGTCGAGCGATAAACAGAGGGAAAAATCAACAAATACAAAAACTTCAGCACAAGGAATCCAGAGTAAGAAAAAACAAAGAGTACTAATATAGGGTATACTCCTCTATGAGGACACATGCAGATTACAACATAAAGGAAGACGGAGACAATATATATGTGACCTATAAGGGTGAGAGTTAACAGGTGGGGAGTTAACACAGCTAAAGACAATAAAAAGAAGGAGTCTGCAAAAGTTAAAATTAGATTTAAGAAGATAAAGGAGCTTATACAAAGCATCAGAAGAATATTAAAGAATTTTAAAAAACAATGCTTAACAAAAACAAATGCTACATTTCAAAGGATATAATAGTAAATCATATTTTAATGTAAATCTATCCATCGATCCATTTTCTTCTGTTTCTGGTTGAGGGGTTGGGTTGGTGCAGCCTATCCCAGCTGTCATAGGGCAAGAGGCAATGCACAGGATGTCTCAGGGCTAACCACAGAGCTCCTTTGACACAGAGTGACACACAACCATTCGCACTCACATTCACACCCATGAGCATTTTAGATTCCCCTGTTAGTCGAACCATACTAGGCGCATGTACTTGGACTGCTGGAGTAAGCTGGAGTTTCTGTAGAGGACCCACGCAGATCAAATGTAAGTAATTTCTCAAAACCAAAAAAGGATTAGATTTCCAGAACGTAAAAATCCTGGGTCTGAGAACACTCAGTTTGAAAGTAAGCAGGTGAAGAGGTTTACCTGTGTAACCTGCTCCTTATCTCTGCTTCAGGGTAGTGGCTCCAAGCAGAAGTTGCTTGTATCACACAGACAGGGCGGTGTTGAGTTAAGTTGTGTGTCAGGCAGATGTCAGACTTCGACGACAGAATGTGTGGTATAAAAATTATTCTGCTCTGCTAATTTTGATCCTTTACAATAATGTTGAATGTGAACCACCTTTAGTCATTTGGAAAAAAGGAATTAAATACATTTATACTTTTCTAAGCAATATGATGCCTCATAGAGTTGGAAGAACTTCTCCATAGAAGACTTTCCATCCTGTTTACATCTATCCTGTCAGTGCGCCCCAGGGTGGCTGAGGCTACAATGTAGCTTGCCATCACCAGTGTGTGAATGTGTGGATGACTGAATGTGTAAAGCGCTTTGGGGTCCTTAGGGACTAGTAAACCACATACAAATAAAGGCCATTTACCATTTAGACCTCTATTACATTATTATGCACACATCAGTTATCTCTACTGTACTCCTAGTTTGAATCAAGTTTCTAAAAATGTGTTAAATATAAAATGTGACTCAATGTATTTTCATCAATAAAACATCAGTAAAGTGTAAATAAAAACAGAATGCACTGATGTGCAAATCTCACAGCAGAACACAGAAAACACGTCAAATGTTTGAACTTAGACATTTTTCCATTTCACACAAAATATGAGCTGATTTTTGACGGCAGCAACAGGTCAAGAAAGTTCAAAGAAACTTAAACAGCTGGAGGAACGTTTTGCAACTAATCAGCAACAGTTCAGTAACATGACTGCCTGTTTAAGACGCTCTGTTCATACTCTCTTTTTTGCAATTTGACCCCCCCCCCCCCCCCCCCCCCCCCACACACACACACACACAAAGAAGAAAAACAAGCAAACAAAAAAATGCTATCTACAGATTGTGGAACAATTTGAAATCACTGTCTGCAGGTTAAAGCTCTATCATGTAGAGAGACGTCATACGGGCAGAAACACTTGTGTCTTTTCTGAGCAAAAAATCCTTTAAAATGTATGGAAACAAAGTGCAAAACTGTTCAGTGGTCAGACCAATCAAAATTTTAAATGCGTTTGGGAAACAATGGATTCAGTGTCATCCAGACTATTTTTTACAAAAAGAGGAGGGGGATGCTACGCAGTGGTAAATGTGTTGCTGCCATCACATTCAAAATTAGCTAAAGGTTTTCCTTAGGTGGTGCGTTTTCTCAGTTTATTGTGTTTCATATGTTCGGTGGTGAACAAAAGAGATTTGCAAATCATTGTTTTCTGTTTTTTTAATTTACATTTTTACACAGCGTCCAAACTATTATAGAAAATGGGTTGTAAACGACTGTGTAGCACACGCAATGAAGCATTATAATTCCAGTGCTGATGGCAGTTTTTTTCTTTAAGTACTTTTTTTTAAAAACAGAGCTGTCTGTACTAGACTCATTGTTAGCTTCGTAACCATAGTAATCATTATATTTGCTACAGTTACTGTGATGATTTGACATTTAGTCCAGATCTGACAGGATACCTGCTGCCTCTCATTCTAGCATGCACGTCAAAAAATGTGCATTAGGCGGGGTTTCACATAAATGCCAGATTACATATGAGCCACAGATGTAGTTTTTACCACTTTTATATGAAAAATAACATGTTGTTGAATGTCTCTCATTCTGTCTTTGCCTTGGATTAACCTTCCTCATCAGTCCTTGGTGATGAGCTTCTGTTTGCCAGGTTTTATCAGAACTGGACATCCTTTCTGTCCGTTCCTCTCACTAATTATTCCACAAGTAATCCCGCAACACTGACGGTGATATCATGGTTTATTTGCTTTTTAATTTCTCAATTATCACCGCAGACACAACCAAAATTAACCAGAGACCTCTTTTCTATCAGTATGATAAACTGTGCTCTCTTCTTCACAAATAATCAACAAGCTAGACACCCAATTAAGGCCGTTTGACCTGGTTATAATTGGGTATGAATAAGGATGGCGCCTTCTCCGACGTCTTTTAATTGCATGCAGGGATTTTCACTACAATAACAACGTAATGTAGATCTAGTATGCACTGATCTTTCCTTTTGCTGCTTGAATGTTGGATTATTGGCTCATTAGCCTGTGTTATGCAGGGGTGAGGGTTCAGCTTATGGGGTAATGGTATCCAATTACAAGACCGGAGCTGGTCTGTGTAATGTTGCTCTTGTTTTTAATCGTTCTGCTGTGCAGTTAGTACAGTTTTGTAGACAAAGCACCTCAACAAACAGTGAGCTCATTATTTGATCAGCGCTACTTAAACTTTTTTTTTTTTTTCTGATTTTATTTTCTTACAAGAGAAAGATATGCGAGGTCCGACACAAGTAACCTAAACACTGGATTTATTTAAAAGTATGAAACTGAAGCTCAGCTGTTTTTTTGTGATTACATGTGAAAACAATGTCGCTCACAACTCATAAAGATGTTAATCTACAGAGAAGTAACATCAGTGGCTGATCGTCAGTCATATAGATGTGGGAGGTGTTACACACAGTTTGTGTCGCTACGCTTTAAACAGGAAACATCAAAACTTTTTTGTTTCATCAGCAGTGTGTTTACAGAGAGATCATTTTCCTTGAAGTAAACAAGAAAAAAATTTAAATTAAAAGACGTTCAACTTCATGACGTGCACATACGTGAAGAGACCACTGTGAACACCACACTGTGAGTTTCAGTCATTGCCGGTAAGCTCTCTCTGCTTCACATGAACACGTGACACCAGGAAAACCACAGTGGTGCTGGCCAAAGAGACACTGCAGCAGCTACACAGTTTCAGGTTCTTAATAAAGACCCCCCTCATGACAACATTAGTCCATCTTATTTCTGATTATAGTACAAAAATTGTAAAATGTCTTAAAACTATGTTTATTGTATTGATATATACATAAGGTTTAGCAAAAGCCTTCTCATACAGAATCATAAAGAGTAACTTTCTATACACATATAATAATGCATGTGGCTTTCTGTTGGGTGTCGATTAATATTTGAGTTTCTCTCCAGGTCTGTTTCACTGATTTCCTTCCTTGTTTTTATTTTGTTCCGTTCTTCTGTTTCCACAACTTTTTCTTGACTTTTTCTGAGTTTTTGGCTTCTTGTTTTGTTTTGGTAATTACCTTTCCTTGTGCATTTCCTGTCATTTAACTTCCTATCTTTGTCTTTACACTTACTTACATTTTTCTGTAGTTATGTAACCACAGTTATGGTGGCAAGTTTCCACACATTAGTCAAGTAACAACATAAACTAATGTCAGACTGAATCAAATATAGGGGGGAAATTTACTGAAAGGCTTCTGGAAACTTTTAAGGTGGATTGCTCTGTTTCATGAACGGCCATTATGTCAAACAAACAGCTTAATGACAGATTTTGTTGCAATCATTGCATTAGCTGTGATCGCTTCTGGGCTTTTTTTTTTTTATCACACTCAGACAGGCTCTTTCTTTGAGTGCTTATGTTTTACCACAAAGCTGACACTAAAGTAGAAAATTGTCGAAAGGCAGCAATTCTTATCTATGGGTTGTGATACAAGCGCTACTTAAACTTTTAAAATCTGGCACTGTGGGTTACACGCTTACATTTTTTCACTGACCGCATGAAGTATTGGGTGGGACGTGCTAAATACATGTACAATTCCCCAAACCAACAGATCTGCTAAGTTACCAGCAGCACGCTTAATGATAATAATGATTGATGTCATTATAGCTCGCCTAATTGCATTGCTGCTTATTTTATAAACTATAGTACTTTGTCAGGAATAGTCACTCATTAACTCAGCAGTAGAAAAAAAGTGCTCCTGTATGATGAGATTTCAGACTGTGAAGACTGAAAATAGTCTCGCAAACTTACTGACATTCATTCATTTGTGGACATGAGGGCAGCAAAAAGTCTGATTCAGCTGGGAGCCAGTGCCAATAACAATTTTTTTTTTCTTGTTTGCTGCAACTTTTTAGGGTTTCTTCATTATGAAAACAACAAGTACATATTTCAGGCGTTTTCACTGCATCTTGAAGCTGGATTCAGTCAGAGCTAACTGATGTGACAGTAAATAAACATTGTCAACTTCTAACTCTACATGATTTCTTATATCTAGGTACACAGTTAATGTATGTCTGGGTCAAAAGAGGCATTAAAAAAAAAAAGACCATGTTGATGATACAGTATCTCACCACGATTGCTTATAAAATCATTAATTTGACCTTTGCCTTGAGACAAATTTGACTTAAGACCTAGTAGGTGATGAAGGTTTGATTAAAGATTAACCAATACTGTAAGATAAGCAGTGATTTTTAGTGGTATAAACGTGATAAGATAATAACGTGGAAAACTGATTATAAATCTTGTAAAGAAATTAAAATCCATACAAACTTAGTGAATGACTGAAAGTCATCCAAACACCTGCATAAAGTTTCACGAATGTCCGGCAGTTAAGATTCTCCTTGCATGGCTAAAAAGCACTATTTCTACTTTGATGTAGAAATGGTGAAAAGACTTTTTTTTCTGTAAAAGAAAATCCATTTCATGCGAAAGTACCTTTGTGTCACCTAACAAACAACAGAGAAGACCGGGGCTTGGGCGGGAATGAACAATAAAGACATTTCTACTGATTTTAGCAGCCCTCCTCACTACAGTCTGCTTCCTACTGAAAAATAAAAAAGCAATTTGGAGCACGAGAGCTCAAAAGGTTGCTGGGTTTTTTTGTCTGGGTGAGCAAAAAGTGTTTGCGTACATGCCTGCAGTTCACTCTGATGGGGCGTGATGCATTTTTGTGTGTGTGTGTGTGTCAGGGGAAAACACTCAAAGTATCGCTCCCTCATCTTTCTGCATTCATATTCTGCTCAAGGAATTCAATGCGCCTTTTTCAACT